CAAGAAGAATGAGTTGAGTAAAATTTGACTCATCTGACTGTTTTGTTTCGCTTAATGCGCCTTATAATCCGGCCTGCATGATGGTCCGAAAAATACGGTATTCTCCTAAACCCTGTGTGGGCTTACAAGTACTCAGGCTTGCTAAACAGTCCAAAGACATGCATGTTAGGTTAAGAGGTGATTCTAAATTGGTCGTACATAAAGAAGCTAAATGCATAAAATAAAGTGCAATATGACTTTGTGTGAAAATGTAAATGTGGCTTGTAGTCTAAAGCACTTTGAGTGGTCAGTGAGATTAAAAAGGAGCCATAAAAATGCCCAACCCATGCTATAGATGCCTCATGCTTGTAATCCATCCTACTTTGCATGCCAAAATCCCCATATTATCAGACGCACACAGACTCTGAAGAGATACTGTTATGAATTGGGTCTATTCAGAAGAAAACAAAGCATTTGTACATCAAAGGTGATGCGATTGACTCGATTCAGCTCACGCCCTTCCTCTTTCTATTTTTTTTTTAACATAAATTACACTAATACCTCAAAATATAGCTTGTTGAATATAAACTTGATATATTTAATTTACAGGTAAAGCTAAAATCGATCCTTTGAGCGTTATTTCTCCTCATGTCACTTCTGCACTCAGAAAGCCAATCGGTATTCCAGTTTGCGCATCCTGTTTACATACTGTTCGTGGGAGAGTTCATTTAGCATACACCTTCTGCAGGGATTTATATCAAATCCCACATTTTTTTTTTTATAATTTCTAATATTATTTTAATACAGCAAAGTATAAAACATTGGATCCTTGTATTATATCAAACACAAATAAAAATCTTAACACGCCCTCATTCTCCTTTGTTTTCTTATGAGTACAAAACTTTTAAAAGAAGACACACCCTTGCTGAAAGAAAGCCAAAGATAACATCGACTATTCCACCATTATTTTTTTACCATAAGCACCATCACAAGCTTCACTCATTATATGGATAGAACATTACAATCCCAGCTTCTGACTCCCAGTGAGGATGTGAGTCAGGAGACTGACAACATCATGGAGTAATGTCTGCCCCGTCTCCTGTGATGTAACTCAACTGAGCACTTCTTAAGAAGACAAATAGAGGACTAATCCCTAACATTTATTTGGAAGCACTCCCTGGATCCACAGACAATGAAGTTGGCTGAGTTTGTCTGTGGTAGTCATGGGAACATGTGAACTACTAATTAGTGTCTGTCAGTGACACCTACTTATGCACGGTGTAAAGAAAGTGACAGTAAATCCAGGGAGCAGCTCAAAACCATCAGTTGAGTCATGGGAGATCGCTGCTGTTAGTCGTTGACTCAGCACTTCCGCATTCTTTCTGTGGCAGCCATCAATCGTGGGTCTCTGTGGCAGCGTAATGATACGGGCACAAGACATATCTTTCTATATCTGTGGCGAGCCCTCTCACAGTACGCAAAACATCTTCGATTAGTCTCGTTGATACCGAGGCTGTTACAATGATAACTAATGTTAAAGGTAAAAAACTTGGGCGTGTGGTTCGACATGGTGCTCTCTTTCAGGTCTCACGTAAGAGAGACAACACAGACAGCCTTTTATCATTTAAGAAACAGAATCAGACAAGTTTTGTCAAGCGACACCGCAGAGGTTCTTGTCCATGCATTTGTGTCTTCACGTATTGATTATTGTAATGCTCTCCTTTCTGGGCTACCAAAGAAAAGTTTTAGAGGTTTACAGATGGTGCAAAATGCAGCTGCTCGCATTTTAACAAAAACTGGGAAAT